CTGTAAATGCAAGACAACAACAAAAAATCCATGAGGAAGCAACAGCTGCTCATGTCGCAAAAACGGGATCAAATGTGTTGCGGCCTGTGGGGAATGCAGAGGCGAGAGCTGCAGGAATGCAGAGGAAGTCGTTGTCGAAGAAGATGCTGACTAAACGCTGGGATTTGTTAAGTAACGATAATTATTTTAGCAGAGTTAAGGCATGTCAGAACAACTTTTTTAAACTTTAATGAACAGTCGCTTCACTAAATGTATCATATATAACAATGTGCCATTTAAATCTGGAAAATGCCATCACAAAGTGGAAACTGAACTTGTTTACTTAAGGCTWAGATATCATATCCAAATTCTAGATATCATATCCTGTGATTAGCCAATCACAAACAAGATTAGTTGCATGTCTTGAGACTAAGATATCATWTCCTTCATTGTCCAATCACAAGCAGTCTATTTTTAGAAGTAGATATGATATCCTATTTTAACCAATAGTCATCCAAGGTATAGTCTAGTCTGTGAAATAAGCTGGAGCAACATTTAGCCTTCACAAGAGCTATTTCAAAACTTMTTTTCAAAACGTTTTTACTTAACCATTCTTGTATTTTTATCACCTCTGAATGAAACATAAGCACTCAAAGTTGTTTAATCAATCTAACAAATGACTAATCGATTTACTAAATGTTATCACTTGGTGTAGAACCTCAAATCAAAAGCATGGATATTTTATTCCTATATGTGAAAGAATTCTTGTAAGTAGCTACTTTTTACTCGATTGTCCGCGGTCAAAAAGCTGTCAAAGCTGTCAAGCTAAATTCAGGACAACATTCAGGCTTCAGAGAGAGACATATTTTAATACCTCTACTCATGTCTACTATTAACTCATTTTTATATGTTGTATGATTTGTTTTCGTGTTTTGCTTTGCCTGTGCATTGAAATATTGTGTACTTTTAAGGTTCAAATTATAGGAGACAATTTCATAAGCTATATTCACCCAGGAGTATTGCTAGATGAGGATTGAAGCGATCATGGTTTTATGAGCAGGATAACATTCTTGTTGAGATTGTTGCCACAGCGTCAACTATCACCAACACTTTGCAAACTGTCTGATTTTCACGATGTTGTGGTTTAATACTTAACCTTTAAATTACTTCCAATAAATAGAAGTCTATCCATATTTTGACTTTGTTTCACATAAAGACTATCAGAGTGAACGATTTGAGTCACGGCTGCATTCCTTGTGTGATAGTGTTTACCGTGTAGATTTGTCATCTAGTTCCTTCAAAAGCTGCTAAATATTGCATGAAAAGTAATCAACAAGGAGTTACTTTCAAATCACTACRTGATTTATTTACATAGTTGGGCGTATAGGCGACCACTGAAGTGAAAAGTTTTAAATGAGCTCAATTTGAAAAAGTACTGAATATAGCCAGCACTTTTCAACACCTTTAGGGCACGAGTACACCCTGCTGTCAGTGTCTAGTTGAACTACCAAAGGGAAGGAACGCCATTGGAAGTACTRTATTTACCCATGTATAAGCCGCTCTCGAATATAAGCCACACCCCRAGTTTTAGGAGCGTTTTTGAGGAAAAAAGACGGAAAATAAACTTTTCTCTTTTTGATCGCAACTTGCGAACACAGCTTTCTTTGATTTTAAAGTACTGTTCCTCTGCTCGATTTCTGTAATCCATGCATTTCGTATGCAATTTCAATAAGTTTATTTAACATGCGGTGTATGATGATATTGGAGAGAGACATAATTGTTAAGTGCACTTTTACAAGTCTTGAAATTTGTCGGACTTGGACCTTAAAGACTTTTACAAGTCTTCTCATAGATAAGCCGCACCCCTGATTTGGGAACGATTTTTTTGAAAAAAAAGTGTAGCTTATACATGGGTAAATACGGTAAATGGGTTTTTCGCATCAAGCACCATGCTGGTGGTTTGGTAGCGTGATGTAAAGCCAGACTGGTTGCACAAGGTTACTCACAGAAACATGGTGTGGACTATGATGAAACTTTCAGTCCTGTAGTGCCTTTTGAATCCTTGAGAACTGTTATTGGACTGTCTGTCCAACAGGGACTGAATCTGCATCAAATGGATGTAACTACCAGAGACGTAGATGAAGATGTCTGAAGATGTCTACATGAGACAACTGGAAGGATTTGTTGTTGAAGGAGAGGAACATTTAGTGTGCAAATTGAACAAAAGCCTCTATGGATTAAAGCAAGCACCAAAATGCTGGAACTTACTACTTGATGAACACTTGAAGTCTATGAGTTTTGTTCAGACTCCAAGTGATCCCTGTATTTATGTTTCTAATGATGATTCTGACCTTTTTGTTATTGCAGTGCGCGTGGATGACATTCTTCTTGCAGGTCCATCAGAAGAGAAAATCATGAAGTTAAGCAGAGTATCTCTGAAAGGTTTGAAGTTAAAGATATGGGGAAGCTGAAGTACTTTCTCGTAATGGAAGTGATCCAGGAAGATGGAAAGGTTTGGATTGGTCAGCCATCGTATACTCAAAACATTCTTAAGAAATTTGGGATGGAAAATTAGAAAACCTGTTGCTACCCCTGTAGCACCTAACCAAAACCTCACTCAAGCTGGTAGTGATAATGTTCCTTATAACCAACCTGTTGACTTTACGAACACATAGCGTAATGTTCATTGAGGGTCATGACAGACTGAAGACGTGGCAAAACCACTTTAAGAACTTACTAAATGCTCCATTGATAACAGAAGTTCGGCTCGATATCACAAAAGTCTTTGATACTTTCAGTGAAAAATTGGCGAGTTCTCGCAAACTGAAGAACGAAAAAGTGCCAGGTCTCGATGGGCTGCCACCTGAATTCTGGAAACTGCGTAAGGTCAAAATAATTCTTTGTAAATTCTGCAACACTTACCTCGGAAACCGACAGAATGGGGCTTATCTGGATTCACACCGATACTGAAGAAAGGGAACTTGAAAATTGCAGACAACTACAGGAGGCATCTCTTTAACTCAAGTTGCATAAAAAATCTGCAATCGTTGTCTTCTAAATCGTATCCGTCCAGTAATTGACAAAGTACTACGACCAAATCAAAATGGTTTTCGACAAGGTCGATCTACTAYGTCTCACCTATTAGCTCTGCGGTGTATAGTAGAGGAGGTGAAGAACCATGATATGGAGGCTGTCCTTACATTCATAKACTTTCATAAAGCCTTTGATTCGATTGATCGTGGAAAAATGTTTCAGATACTTGAGGCATATGGAATTYYTCCTGACGTTGTTGCAGCTATTCTAGCAATGTACATCAACACTTCTTCATTACTCCTGAAGGAAATACAAAATCAATTTTTGATTGATACAGGTGTATTACAGGGAGACCCTCTGGCTCCCTTTTTGTTCATAATCTGTCTAGACTACGCCCTACGCTCTGCTATBACTGTTTCCAATGGACTCATCTTACAACGACACTGTAGTCGCCATCACCGAGCTGAAGTCTTGGCAGACCTCGACTACGCTGATGATATTGCTCTTCTAGACAATACAATTAGCGCTACCCAAGATCTTCTCTTTTGTGTGGAAGTGGCATGCCAGGAAGTTGGTTTACCTCTAAATGCTTCAAAAACCAAATACATGCACCAAAAACCCATCAACAAATACCTGCAGATTGGTATCTTCTGATGGATCAACGGTTGAGCTTGCAAATAAAAAAAAGTATCAAAAAAYGCCGACATGGTTTGAAGTTGAATATATAGTGACCAATATGCCTACAAAGTTTGTTAAAAATAAATCCTTTTTTCCATTTAACTGTTTAAAAATATGGACTTGATTTTTGATTATTATGTAATAAATTACTTATTAAATATCATTACAAACCAATTTCATAGGCGTTTAGGTTGTTGTGTTAGCTTCAAATCGATTTATGATAATTATATAAGATATGTTTTTTTTACAGTGGCACCTTGTGAAGGGGAGCAGTAAAGTCCTGAATAGTGAAAGATGCAAAAGAGACATGCATAAAGCTACGTGTACATACTATAATTTCTATTTTTCTAGAAACCCATGTGGGAGAACTGGAATATCAGGACGTGGTGCTCTTGGTAGATGGGGACCAAATCATGCTGCTGATCCAATTGTAACAAGGTAATAAAACTGAATGGTTGTGAAAGAGAGGTCTTTGTTGTGAAGTTAATTAAAGAGTTAGGAGCTACTAGTCCCAAATGTTTTTTTTTTGACTTTCTGGGGATTCAACCTTAAAAATTATACAAAATTATCCCAGCTTTACAATGACAATGACAAACATTTTTAGTTGTGGCTGTTATTTTCCAAATATCTTTTAAAATACAATTGGCTTTTTCTGAAATATTATCAGAATTGCATTTTTATGTCCTACATTCAGTACAAACACTTGTGTGCTCTTTCTGAGCATAGTTGATGGTCTTTGAGTGATAGCATTTATATGGAATGAAAGCTTTTTATGAATGAAAGCTCTTTCTGAGTGGATGGTTTGTGAAGAAAATGCTTTTAAAGAATATCTAAATGGTACTGTAGACTTTTATCCTGTGTGGACCCCCAACCCCTTCCCTTTATATTTTCCATGACTTTTTAATCTTTTGGTACATATTTGGCTGTAGGAACTGAAGTATATGCGGAGTACTAGGGCTATTTAGAGTGCTGGCCTACTCTGGGAATCAAAATCGACGTACCTCTTAATGGCTGTGCTATTTTAGTAAATATTGCACAGACGTACTTCTCAAAATATAAAGGCAATTTTTTGGGCGATTTTAAATGACTTTTGAGCCATACATTTGAGCCAGGCTTTGTGGTAATTTTGATACATTTTCACAATTCTGCACTAACGCCACTCAAAATTTAAATGGAGAGTTGGGGTGGTGAATATATAGTTTAATCTCCCATAAGCAGACACCCTTTGGGAAATGAAAATAGTGTCCGCAAGTAGAAATGTCAGTCTAATAGAAATGGATCTTAAAACAGCTAAAATAACTTCAAATATTCTTGTTTAATAGAAATAGCATTCCTAATGATTAACAGTAGCATCTTAAGATAGTGTGACTCAATAGCGATTTATTTTACAATAAAATACTCTTTCAAGTCACACTGAAAAAGCTTTGTTTTCTCCAGGTGGTGYTGGACACAGCRTGAAAATAAGGATCCTGGGTTAAAATTCAAAAATGGTTTCATTTGCCACTGACCTTTGAGCTGTGAGGAGCTCCGTCGGAGGTGACTGAAAAGCAAAATAAAGGCGAAATCTGAGAAAAATTTGAAACGTATCCTGAAAATAAGTAAAAAACTCATAATAGAGCTCAGCAGTATTGCGAAAAAAGAAAGCTAGAACACTGAAACCTTAAAAGACTGAAAAGATCGGATTGTTCGAGCAATTGTGAGAAAATTAAGTTCATTTTATTACGAGAAAGCGCAAGCATACCTTACGGCGGTCGGCCGAAAAGACATGCTAATTACAATCAGCGATATGAATGACACTCATGTTTTGCAATTCCAAGCAACAATCCTTTGTTTGACATCATAAAATGTTGCAAAAATGCAAAAAGGGATTGACTTTTTTAATCTCAAAACTGTCAATATTTCAAAAGTGAAGTTGACCTTGACTATGAAAGAGGTGACGCTCGCATCAAAAGTTGTTCAAGGTCAAAATTTTGGCGGGAAACCTCGGCCGCAAGAAATTTAAAMATTTGACTACAGGTGTTTTTTGTTCAAATTCTTTCTTATTATGCCTTGTTTGTTTGTTATGYAACTTTAGTTGCTTCAAAAGTGAATAAATACTGCTGCGCCATCGTGCGYCATGCAACCAGGACATTAAGAATTTATTTCTCGTTTTACATTCTTAATATCAAGACAATTGATTAAATATCTCGATCACAACTATGAAAAACGTCTGGCAATGTCAAAATTGCCGACTTGTCATTTTTAATAAAGAGAACAAAATTTTGAAAGCTATTTTTTCGCTATGAATCGAAAATGTATGCGGAAAATGTTACAACATCCACAAAAGTATAAAATATACTACCGTTGCTGACAAAGTTTTATAAAAAACACTGTTATTAGCMAGGGGAAAGTGTACAACAGAGGAAGAGGCTATAAATCACCAATGAATTTTTGATCAATTGGCTCAAATCCGAACTGAAGAAAGAAGGACATAACACGTAATTCAGCTCCATGTATAGTTTGTCTTATCATTGACAAGCTTGTTAAACTGACAACTTATTATCAATCTTGAAAATAGATCAAATAAAAGTTATTAAAGTGACCACACCCCCTTACAAGAAAGTCCGCTTAATAGAAAGTATAAATACAGTGTTTGTATGGGAGGAAAAACAGGGTTTTTAAATGCTAGATAGACAGACAGACAGGCAGACAGACAGACAGACAATAAGTTAAAAATGATAACAATAATAATAAACTATATGGCAAACTACAATATAAGCTATAAACTATTATACATAGACTATAAATATGATAATTCAATTTTTAAAAATGGTTGCAGCAATTATGCATCTGAAAAGTTTTAAGGGAGCTTGCCTTTCATAACCCGACTGGGAGGCTATTCCACAACACTGCTATAACTAAAGCTATTTTTCAGGTAGTCTGTGCGGGGCAGGGAAATAGCTAGTTGCTCTCAGTGTCTCGCAAAGAATAAGAGGTAACACTGTCATGGTCTGTGTTCATAGCGCATGTAATTTGGAGCTAGTCCATTAAGTGATTTATAGACCATGACAGCCTTACAAAACCTGCATTGTGATTCAAGTGTTTTCCACCCTAGTCTCATAATTAGTTCGTCAGCATTAGTGTTGTAGCTGGAAAAGGTCAAAATTCTTGCTTCTCTAATTTTTGGAGTTTAGTAGCAAGAGATTTGTTACAGTTGTCCCATACTTCGCAGCAGTAATTAAAGTGAGGCTGCACTAGAGAATTAAATATAGAATGAAGTATGGGAACAGGAACAAGCTGTCCCTAAATAGAACTTACTGTCCGCTTACGGGAGCGTCCGTATTAAGTAGAGATTCAACACTGTTTTTATTTATTATTTGTGAATAAATAGACATGCTTTTCTTGAGAAGTTTTCCACTTCAATAAGTATTTGGCCAAAAAGCACAGAATCTGACACAGTTGAGTTTCCAGTTTCCAATCAGTTTCCAACCTTAGTTTTTCCTTTTTGCCAATCTATCACGTCGCATTTGTGAACCTTAGGAACCCCAAATGTTAAAAAAAAACATAATAAGTTGAATTTTTTTCTACTTTGCAGGTGGAAACACACAAGTGAAGGTGATAAAGTTTACCAGAATGAAAAACCTGTGCTTGAATTTGTGTCTATCAAGAGGAAAGACTGTGGACTTTGGGCTATTCCAGGGGTATGTGTGATGTATTATATTTTATTTTATTAGTTTACAATATACATTTAAATGCCAGGTATCACCTGGTACTTTGGGCACCTCGTCATAATGTCGTGTTATAATGAAATAATTTGCTTCAAGAGAGTAGGCTTAGTTTTCAGCTGTTAGGATTTCGTATGCGTCAGTCTAGACGAGCAGCGACACTAATCTTGCTCCCTGTGGCACACAATTATCAGTCTTGATCCCAGAGTCTGCACGTCTCATGTCACCTGTCTGCTGTAAATATCTTATTTGTAAGATGCCCATTGTGCATTTTTAAATGAAGAGGTGGTCCTCAACTCCTCCGATAGGCCTTTTAAGGCCTATTAAAATTACAACCGAAATCAAGCTGCCAGTGGCAACATAACTCAGAGATTGTGAGAGCTGCTAATTTTGCAAGGACTCATACTAGATATATTTTTTTATGAACAAAATCATGTAACAGGTGATCATGAAATTATAAAACTCATGAAGCAAAAAAGATGCTGACATAATAAGTTAACATTTAAATTGGATTACAAAAAAAATGACTAACTATATAAGTTGTTAGTTCGATATTTCAGTAGCTTTTTCAATGCTTTCATGTACTGAAAGAACAAGAATTTGTGTATATATATCATATGAATTATGAGCTCCTTTGTTGAAGTTTCTTCAAATACATATTGTTCAGTTTAATTATTGTTCATGTTCTTGATTTAATTAATGGAAAATCAATTAACTGCAATTATTCCAACAAAATTGTTAACTTGGTTGTGCTGCCCTTTTGATCCATACTCAGCAACGTAAACATCCCTGCTGATATATGCACAATTGTCATGATGGTACATGCAATTGAATCCATAAATTTGCATTTCAATATTTCTGGTATGTCCATTTATGGTTCCATAATGTTAGGTGGGACACTTCATTCATAAATTGTGTAGGTATTTCCAGTGATAGAGCAGATTTCTTATGAGTGGGAAACGGACGGTACTGTACTGTGACCGTAAATCGTACTGTAACCAAATTCTAGTGTCCCATTGGTTCACAAAAATTGTGCAAGCCAGGTCCGGTAACTATGCGGTAACCGTGCGGTAACGGTGTCCCACTCATACRAAATCCGCTCTAAGTCCATATTTAAAGTAATTGTACTGCATTGCCATTTTTAAAAGTATTCGTACTGGTGTTGTTACACTTAAGGTATACATAGTGCACTTTCTTCCATAAATGTCCATGTTAATATTTCCACTGATATATCCACAGGTAATTGTATTGCAATTTCATTGATACATTGCCATATTAATATTTCCACTGGTATGACCAGTACAGTAATTGTGCTGTAATTTCATTTATAACATTTTTCAATTGTTGGGTAAAAGTATATCCACTGATATCTTCACTATATATGTGCTGGCAGTTCTATGCATAGTCCAATGTTATGGTTTTTCATGCAAATATCAATCCAATGCAATCCAATGTAGTATAATTTATTCACTGTAGTAAAATTTAAGCTGTGCAAAATTCTTGAGAAAAAAAAGAGCACTTAAGTAATAGTTCAATATATTAATAATAAATTATATATTAATTTGCTAATACTTACCATTTTCAATTAATTACCATTAAACTGGGAAGAATAGGGACAAACTCTCCCTTCCCCCCCATTCCCTCCCCACTAGCTTCTTTACAAATGACTTAATGTACAATAAAAATAATGTATTGCAAATTAATAAGAAAAGTGAAAATAGAATTAGGTTAATTATTCATATATAATATACAATGCATAGATCATATGAAACAGGTGTGGCCATCGTAACGCCAGAGTTTATAAGTTGCATAATATATTATTACTACCAGTTGAAAAACATATTATAATGAGTGAAATCTAAAAGTTTCAATGCTCTTACATTTAAGGATCAGAAATAACAGGTGTTTGGTATTGCAAAGGTTTGAGCAAAAATCAGTATTGAGGCCTTACCAGCCTTTTTTCACGTTTTTGGTACGTTTTTTAAAACTTAAAAGTCCTCATAGCTCTGCCGATATTTTACCATTTGAAACTAAAAATATGACAATTCTCTAATTTAGATATACTCTTTCTTATTTTGAAAGCATGGCCCATTTAAGGTACTCATTCCCAGTCTGCTGCTCGTTTTTCATATGGTCAATATGTCATTGTATGTACGCCTGATGAAAACCATCATGGCAACTACCTGAAAAAACGTTTATGAAGTTTTACATATTATAATTATATGTCTTGACACAAAGCCAATTCTAAGAGTTTTGTTGAATGATTTTGAGAATACAGAGATCATAGAGTCAATTTCGTATGAGTGGGAAAGGGACGGTACTGTACTGTAACCGTAATCGTACTGTAACCAAATTCTAGTGTCTCATTGCTTCACAAACATTGTGCAGGCCAGGTACGGTAACTGTGAGGTAATTTCTACCGTACTTTTCCCACTCATACGAAATCGACTCTATAAAAGTTGGTAGGTATGCTCGACGGACGGATTGAAAAAAGGCCCTTAAAGGTACGCATAAATTAAGTCAGGTATCGATTCCAGACCCTTAAAGGTACGACCATTTTTGACGTCTTTGACAAGAGAAAAGCTCAAGTTTAACAAACCGCAGAAATAAATGTCTATAGATTGTTGAGATAAAGAAAATCTATTTCTCTATAACACTTCTTCAATTTTTTTCACCGTTGTTCGAAAATTGACCCTAAAAGGTACGAAATCAGCTAAGGACCCTAAAATGTACGTGAGGGTTTTATTTTTGACCCTAAAAGATCCGTCGAGCATACCTACCAACTTTTATAAGGGAGTCCCAACCCCCTGGGACGTGGGCTTCCCACATAAAAAGCTTTTAAAATTTATTCAGACTTCGTTTCCCCACATTTATCAAACTAACCTAGAAAATGATAGGTTTGACTTTAATACAATTTAAGCTAACTTCTTACCTCGTAGAATTTGTATTTTGCAGAATTATTTCAGTGCTTCTCTTCTAGCCTTGGTTGAGCTTGGAAACAAAAATATGAGAATTTAGTAGACATCAATAGCATAGTTAACTATGTCAATAGTAAACAAACTTTGATACTTATGCTATGTTGTTTCTATCGCCGGTCACTCGAAAATCTTCTACAAATCTTTGAGTACTTAGTTATTCGTTTTCAATATGCAAGGCGGCTTTATATAGGTATTTCAAAAAAGGTTGTCGGATAAAATGGCTAATGTCAATGGTCGAACGGCGATTGCACGACCGAAAGTAGTCATCATGGGTGTTTGGTTAGTTGAAAGGCAATAACAACTGATTTATACTGTAACATAGTCTGTGGTAAACACTGGATCCTTTAATCTCGATTTCTATGTAAGGTGAATCCAATAAGTGAATTTTTGTTTATCGAAGCAGTGCAACCATAGTCCCTTTCGGTCTTGCATTCTCCCTTCGACAATCRCCGTTCGCCGTTCTCCCCGACAACGTTTTTTGAAATAGCTGTATATACACAAAAAAGTAAATTTCTGCACTTTGATAGCTTACCTGAAAGTCCAAAGCGGATATTCACAACCATGCCTTGAAATCTTGTTTTCTACGTAAGTTCTTAAAAGGTAGACCGTGAAGATGAATAATTAATAATTTATAAGTCAAAAGATAGCAGTTACTAAGGCAACAGTTTACAGAAAAGTGAGTGAGTGAGTGAGTTAAAAAAACACTATACTACTGTCACATTAGCACAGTGCTAAGCGATACAAAAAATACTCTTGTCGTTTTAAGTTCGTTAATTAATTTGAAACTAATTTTAAACTCAAATCCGTTAAAATTCTTGGAGAAATTGCCGTAAAAATAAGTTTAGAGATAATTGGGGCAAACTGATCATGCGCGAATAATTTCACCGAGCACTCTTGTCATCCCACATTTAATACACTTCAACAACTCATACATAATTAATGAGCTATTAGACCAATAGAAGAGCCTATTTGGTCACATGCAAGGACCTTTATATCTGATAAAACACTCCTTATTAGTATTCTTTATATAAAGAATACTAATAAGGGTGACCTTATCAGATACAAAGGTCCATAACCCTATCGAAGGTCTCAGGTTTGATACCTGATCATTGACCAATGCAGGATGTCAACCGATTGCAGTGAAATAGCCAACAGCGGTTCTATTTTATTTTATGTGATATTTAAAAAAACGAGGAGGAGTGTTTTATTGTAAAACACGAACTACGAGTTTTTGAAATGACTTCTAAAAACCAAACCTCTAAGAAACTACAATATTTTAGTTCAACATGAAATAAAAAAAAAAATGAATAATTGATGAAGATAGCTCCTTTTGAGCATGAGCAGTAATCAACTTGGTTTCCCACATCCAAGCGCCACTATGTTTTAGTCTACTATGACTGGAAAAACTCGCGCGCTTTAAAGTTTGTAAATTTGAAATCTGTAAATTTGTTGTAAATGATTTGCATGAAATTTACATCATTTTGGACACTTACATCATAAATACATCAAATTTACAACCTTTAAAGCGCGCTATTTTTTCCAGTGTATGACTATGCAACTGGTACATTTTGACTCGAAACCTAGTAAAGTTCTATGATGAGAGTCTAAAACTGAGAACTTTTCTAGTGTTGGGCACACATTGAGTGTCTGTAAATCAGTTACGACACTGATGTTTTATGCATGAATGAGTTTTATAACTACCTGAATTGATTAGTTATAAAACTCATGTCTAATTAATTATTCTTGTAACTTGAGTAATAGGTTCTGTCATGTGGCCCATAGTTGAATGCTCATTGGAAGAATGTCTAATGAATAATTCATGAGTTTTGAATATAATATGTAACCTACAATAGACTTAATCGGATAACGCGTTTTCAACCCAATTCAAACCACCCGGGAGTAAGTTCCATTGTTCGTTGTATTTTTATTTCACCGTTGAATTCTTAACAACAAAAGTTCTTTTTACCACAGGATTTGAATTGGGTGGTAACGGACATAACAACGCGTTAGCCAATTAGGTCTATATGTAGAGAGTTCTTGTGTCAAATAAAGTTTGACTAGACTAGTGTAATGATTTTCAGTACAATTTCTATTATTATTTTCACTGACAAATGGCGAACATTTCATTATTAGGGAATGGTTGATCCTGGTGATAGTGTAAGCAACACACTTAAAAAAGAATTTGGAGAAGAAGCTCTAAATTCATTGAAAGCTTCACAAGATGAAAAAAAAGAACTTTTGGCACTAGTAAATGACTTATTTAAAGCTGGAGACATGGTAAAGTATCACTGACAATCCTGATAATCTTTTTTCTATCTTTGCTTTTGAGCTTTTTCTAAATACCGAGCCAAGGATCCGAGTCAGGATTCGAGTCAGGACTCGAGCAAGAACTCGAACCGTTTTACATGTTTTAATGATGTTAAGTATTAACTTAGGTTTATGGAAGTGGAGCGGTAGGGGGTCGCTAGGATATAGCCACGTACACCGAGTATAGTATTTCAYATCTGTGTTCTTGCAGCTCGTCATCTACACGTTTCACCCTACCCTCCCTCCCAAGTAAGCAGTTGTATTGTTCAAATATGAACATTATTAAATTGCTCTATTTTAGCCCAAACACGCGTATTGTATTATTTGTGTAATGATATTAAATGAAAAGAAAGGTATTTTAAGGTATTTTAATTACCATTGACCCACATTACCACAAAGGTAGTCAATTTCGGGAGAGAGCCACGTGAACTAGCCAATGAAAAACGTGTATTTTGTGATTTATCATTTCTTTAATATAATGTCAATTTATAATTTCAATTTATAATTTCAACTCGAAGTCCTGACTCGGATCCTGACTCCGTAGTTAGTTTATCTCGTTTAAACTGCTTTTTTGTAAACAGGGCTGCACGTCCTGCTCGAATTCTTTTCCTTAAACATTTTATCTTCCAAATTGATAATATTTGCCATTGGATGCCTCGTCGTCGGTACTGACTAGTTTTACCGAAAAAAAACTATCTATAAGATTTTTTCGGTATTTGATGAAGTTCGAATATCGGTTCAAATATCGATCCTTTGCCGCGTCTACTCTTAAATCTGATTACTTGTATGTAGACTATTTTCAGTTAACAGATTAACTGATTAAGTTATAATAAGTTCGTCCAACTGAACAAAATTCAGTAGATTTTCTCAATTTTTAGCTTCATAGAAAAATGCAACTTACTTTTCGCACGTTATTCTTTAAGCTTGTTACATTTTGTCTTAACGTAAATTTAGTTACTTTGTTTTCAAAGTTTATGTTAGCGCCATAGCGCCAACAGTATTTTGTTTGTTCTTCCCTGGTTTTCAACGATCACGTTATAAAACAATTCGGCTATTTAGAGGATTTTTATTATTTTCCCGTAAGTTAAAGCATGTCATTACGAAACTTTTGAGCAAAAATAATGCTTTTTAAAAGAAATACGAGCGATCGAAAATTGGTAAGAATGAATGGTATTATCACGGTGAAACTGAAAAATCTTTGTTTAAAGATTCAAATGAATCTATTAAGTCGAAGACCCAATAAAGCATCAACAGTTATGCCTATAAAAATCCAACCTTCGTACCGCCAGCCCCTCTTGCTGTAGTCGCCAAAGACTGTTATAATAGCTTATTATTGCTCGACCAAATAATTAAAATGCAGGACAATTCCCCTACACGAACGACAGAAGATTACCCCTGGGTTCCCGAGGATGACACACAATTCTCATACTCATTAATTATTCATGAGGTATCCAGCCAATCCCTGATTGTAATTTGTACCACGTGAAGTAACTTGAAACCAGAGGAAATACTCGTACCTTGTATTCTACCTTATTTCCAGTTACTTCTACCTTTTTCAAGTTACTTCTACATTATTTCCAGCTATTTCTACCTTATTTCCAGTTACTTMTACCATGTTTCCAACTACTACTAGCTAATGATAATCAAATTATTAGAAATAATCAGTTTAACATTAATTCAGTGAAAAAAGGTCTTTGATACATGACTCCCTCACGACTCGATCCCCTACCGTCCAGTCTATATGCGCCGTCTTATACCATTGACACCACCGAGTTTCTGATGCGATTCCTCTGAAGATAACATACTTATAAATCTTATGGATATGCCATGAATAGCAGGCAAAGACAACTTGAATAGCTTTTGTTTCAGAAAGCCGTCAGGGAATTGAAGAACAACAAACGGTGCTTCATGTATTCAAAATTATGAAAACTGAAAACCTTAGTGAAGATGCAATAAATCAATATATTTCTGTTATATGTATTTCCTTCGCTTTTTACCCCTCCCGAATAATTAATGAGTATGAGAAGTCGTTCAAAGTCCTCCAATTCGGACTGGAYGGRATTTCAAGTCCTTGCAATTAGTTCCAGTCCTCGGCTAACGCCTCGGACATGAACTAATTGCGCGGACTTCAAATCCCGTCCAGTCCTCATTGTCGGACTTTAAACATTACTTAAATAACCCTTTAAAAACCCTTTAATATAATCAAGTTGCCAATGGCAACACAACTCGGAGATGAAAAAAAATTAACAGAATATGAAATTGAAAAGTGTATCACAGAGCTTATCATGATCMGCTAAAACATTGTATTGTAGTATCATCAACAAACGTACGATGGCAGTTTGTCGAACCCTGCCGGCAAATTCGGCTACAAAACTTGTTTCGCTATCCATCCAAATTTTCTAACTTTCTTCAAAATGACTAAGTACAATGAACTCCAAGTAAGTCAAGTAAATTTTCGCGAAAATTGTCTCTTAGACCACCTCTAGACAATTTTTACAGACTTTATATTTCATCGGTTATTTCTCGGTCCGCCATTTTGAGAGGCTGCGATTTCTTTCAGCGGATTTTGAGAGCCTGCGATTTTTTTTCAGGAGCTATGTTTAAACGTTAACAGGAAAGTGAGTGAGTGACAGATCGTCCAATCTCGTACCCAGAGCCBGCACTTTTGCCATCCACTTTTTAAAATAGATGGGGTTCACGGGAAAATTATTAACACTTATGCGCTCACTTGGAGTTGAGTTACAGCCATAAGCAACACACTTTTTGGGCATTTTGTTTTTTTGTTTATGTAGTAAACAAATTTGAAGTTACATCTCAAAACGCGCGAAAATCGACGAAGGACACCCGTGACGTCACACAATGACGTCACATGTTGTGATTGATTGGCAAAAACTCGAACAAAGCATTTAGGGATTGGGAAACAACAAATTTGTTTTCAGAACCAGTTTATTCACACCATATACTATTCTAACGACTAATTTTGAAAATTGGTCAAGGCCATGGAGGTTGCCCTTAAGTTTTTTGATTAAGATAGTCAATTCAGGTAGTCTAACGCGTATAATATATAATAATAATATAGTATAGTTGTCTCTAAATTTCGGATATTTTTTTGGTTAAAAAGCTGATTTTTTTCCTATTGTAGTTCCAGTCTTGCAAATTCGCACTGTAAAAAATGGGGACTTCAAAACAATGTTTACTTACTATAAATTATCTTTGTTAGTTTTGTTTTCGCCTCTGTTCCGCATATTATTCAAAAATGTTGCTTAATTTGTGTGCTCTGATAGTCTTTATTATATCCTTGACGTATGTCTCAAAACGATCATAATTCCTGCATATTGCTGTATATAATAAACTAAAACATAAACTAATATTAAGATTTATAATATATATTTTGCGATATGTTTCAATTTCTCTCTTAGGGGCCAAACTTTAAAGCAAGTCTAAGGAGAGGGTTGAACTTGTGTTTTGTTTTACTCGAACGCTCCTGTATTTAACTGCAGCCAAAACGTGGCGACTAATACCTTTTGTTTCTTCTAGATATACAAGGGCTATGTTGATGACCCAAGAAACACCGATAATGCATGGATGGAAACTTTGGCAGTTAACTTCCACGACGACACTGGGAAAGCATTTGATAGGTTTTTCCTTCAAGCTGGTGATGATGCAGGAGCCGTCAAATGGATGGAAATATCTTATGGGCTTGAACTTTATGCAAACCATGTAGAAATGATTCATAACGTTGCACGCGTGCATGGAGCATCCCTTTTATAGAAATGCGTAGTAATCGGGTTGTCCAGTCCCTTTCCACACGCGTCCAGAGATTTTGTATCCACAAATTGTTTTATTCGAATACATCTGGTGTCTACACATGTCCCATCGTATACGCTTGGTATTTCTGCGGTGTCTACGAAATTTCTGTATTTGCTCTCTAGTGTGGAAACATCTCTACACGARTATGTTTTGAATAYGTGTGGACCATTGAATATTTTTGTATACGATGATATTATAGGTTGTTGTACGCATGCATGCTGCCTTGTCCTTTGAGATACCCGGGTTCGTACTGGATGCATGTGGGCGTATAATCGTATAATTCGTACACGCTACATACGGACGCAGATATTTCTGTGTCCGAAAAAAAAATGCCTGGACTCGTGTGGACAAAGCCTTAATTAAGGATTAAGGGTATGATTTGGGTAAAGGGCACGAACAATGTTATTTCGTTTTCTCTAATCAGCAAGAGATCATGCAATTCTAAAACGACTATATCTTTTTGCACTGATTATTAGAAATTGCAGCGCAATTACCATTTATTCTACTTTGCTTATTTCTGAATTGTCAAAATGTCTATGACGATTTATATCGTATGAATCTATGTATAATGTATGAATTTTGTTGCTAAAATTTGGGCAGAAAAAAAAGATATTCAACAATGTGCCTTTTTCCCGTTCAATGAGGGAGCGAACCCTGTTTTATTGACAACAGTCTCTAGTACAGATATACCTTCCTAAAAACAAAAGAAAGCACTAAAAAATGTGTCATTACAATAGATTCCTCAAATTTCTCTCTGATTTTGGATTTAGCCTGTATTCCCAGAAGGCTTTTACCCTGAGTCTTGTGGAAATACAGGGTTAGCCTCAAATTGGAGAARATTCAAATTTTTAGAGCTATATTACTGTCAATATTTTTGCGCGCTTTCCACTACTTTTGGCAAGGTTTTTGCGCAAGTGAGTCTGTAGTCTACTTTAACTGCGGTCTCTCTCCGCTAGGTCTAGTGGATATCCAGTTGTACCAAAATATATATAGCTATTTCAAAAAAGGTTGTCGGATACAATCACGAATGTCAATGGTCGAACGGCGATTGCTCAACCGAAAGTAGCCATGGGTTTTGCTAGTTGAAAGAAAATAATAACTGATTTGGTATTGTACGATGGTCTGTCGTAAACAGTGGCTCCATTTGACTTTATTTCTATGTAAGGTAAATCCAATAAGTGAATTTTGTTTATCAAAACAGTGTAACCATAGTCCCTTTCGGTCGTGCAATCTTCATTCAACAATCGCCGTTCTCCGTTCTCCCCGACAACGTTTTTTGAAATAGCTGTAACATTCATGAAATTTAGATTATTTATTTGATAGACGTCGCAAAAGGTTTTCTGTATGATCTGAAAAGTGTGAAAAGCAACATTTTATTTTGCTTTAGCCATGGAAGAATCAAAATTAGGCCTTCTATGGCCTTGGGCACGGATAATAATGTGGTGCTTGTATAGTGTTTTATCCTCTAAATGAGGTTATCATAACTCCAAGTTACCAGGCGGTTTACAGATTTGGTAACCAGTGAGATCTCATTTAAATCGTAATTAATAGAAGGGAATGGTTTGGAAACCTTTTGTTGTACTTCTTTTGTATSTATTTTGAGGTTGAATCAGTCAAGACCGTGCACAACGATTTTCTTACGGACGATGGAAAGATCATAAACACTGTCTATGAGATTATGAAATGAAATATTTCAATATTGGTTAAAAGGTTTTGTGCATTTTTTTTAATTTTCGCTCTGTTCTTTCAGATGTGACCAATCGAGTGCACGCCACATAAGTGTGAAACAATTCTTAACAAATTAGCCCTTAATAAACGAATAAGATTTAGTTATCAACTAAGAATTCAGTGTACTCTATGGCTAAAACAATAGTTAAACTGCAAAGATTGTGCACGGTCATGCTTGGAAAAAAGTCACAAAAAGAAAAGGCTTCCTAACCATTTCTCTCTACAAACTATGTTGAAATGCAGCTTCTTATCCTGAAGTATCAACTTTGTGTGCAACTCATACAGCCAGGCTCTGTTGGACTATGAGAAGTTGATTCATAATAAACAGTCAGTATGCACCTCGAAAAAGGAAGAAGCGAAAATGACAATAAGTTCAGCACAACTTGTAGGGCGGATAAGCGTTAATAATTGGAGGAACTGTGCAATTTGTAAAGAAAGCACAAAATTTTGGTACAGTTGTGAGAGCGCTCAATGTAAATACACACACACTGCAAATAATTTCAAGGACACTGGATCAATTTTTAAAATATAATATTTATTATTAAATTATACCATTATATTTCACTACAATAAAACCAGAAACTCACGGGGAATTGAATCGAGTCACCACTGAAATTCTCCAGGCAGTCGCAGCTCTATTCATAGTAAATAATAACGCTACGAATCAATATTCCTAATTTTCTTTTGTCCTATCCTATTTCCTGTACTGACTACAACGTCATTTATTGCAAGGAATGGTTTAATTAGTCAGAACGAAATCCCATTCAACACCTTTATCCTGTCCTCAGCAGGTTCTTATGTAAAACGTATTAAAATGGAAAATTTCTGGTGAGAAGTCTAAATCCACTAGGTTCTTATTTGCGGATGTTTACTGTATGGTTTTTGCATGTGATTTGTTTTAAAACTTTAGTACCCCTCCACACGTTTGAAAAGTATGATTTAATAATTTCACAACCCTTTTTTCAGGTGGTCAAATAATAAAAAAKAAATGATTATTTCATTGTCCACAATAATACTTTAAATACTCCAGTTTCGAATTCTCCAATGCTCTGTGTTAGCCTCATTTGTGCGCAAAATATTCCTTATTGTGAGCGTAAAAGTGTGAGATTTCAAATCAAATTTATTGTCTTTCTTCACAAAATTCCATGCGTTTTCTCGAGCAATCAATGAAACAAAAGAATATGTTACTTGGTTTTGAGGCTAACACAGAGCAAACCACAACTCGAAATTGGAGTATTGAGCTTTCACAGAATTTCATACAAGTTTATAAAATARCTATTATAACGCACGCGCTGATTGGTTGAAATGGGCAAAAAACCGTGTTTCTATGAGAGCACAGAAACACGGCTTCCGAGTGAAGAGTCGCTGCATTTCTCGGTAAAAATACAAAAATGGCGACGCATAATGAAGAAAATCCAGATTTTGACATCAGTTTTGACTTCGACGCCGATTTGACGAGAATGCACTAGTTAGCAGAAATTGATGGAATAGTAAATAAAGAAAATGATATAAAACAGCCCGCTGAAAAGAAAACAAGATTCACGGAGCTTGAAGAGACTGCGCTAGACGAAATTGTTGCAAGTGCCCCGAGCAAGAAAACAAATTATACGACAAAGTGAATGTTACCTCTATGAACAGTATAGTATTAGAATAACAAAAAACACTTCATTTCCAGGATTTATTAGTTTTATTTGCAAAAAAACGGATTTATAAGTGTTTTGTGATGTTACCTTGAGATTGTTTAACAACTCTTGAAGTATTTCTTAATAGTAGTAAAAGTAAAGCAAAGAAACAAGCAAACATCTGAACCTTGATTTATTTTTAAATTAAAATTTCAGAATGGTGTCAAGAGAGAAATATTGAAACAAAACTCGAGGAAATGGAGAAAAGTGATCTCGACGCGGCCCTACGAAAGTTTTATGCAGAGGTTCGAATCAAAGAAGGAGAAAATTACAGCCGGTCCGCACTTTTGGGTTTCCGTTACGCTATTGAAAGGTTTCTCAACGGACCCCCACTGGATAGAGGTTTCAAGATCTACAAAACCCAGTCTTTTTCCTTTTGCTAGACGCTAAAATCAAGCAGTTAAAGCGTGAAGGAAACGACACTACTACCCACAAACCTGCCCTCGAAAAACAAGATCTGTTGAAGCTAAAATCAAGTCAAGCGCTCTTTCCTTTAAGTCCACATGGCTTACTAAGAAATGTGTGGTTCCATACTACCCTGTATTGGTGCAGAAGGGGTCGTGAGGGTCAAAGAAGCTTAACAAAATCAAATTTTACCTTTGAAACAGATCCAAACAACAGCCGTAGATTTGTCACAATGACTCACGACGAAGCGAGCAAGAACCACCCTGGTGGAGTTGTTGATATCAGAAGCTATGAAAAACTAGCCAGAATGTACGAGACACCGTCCATATAACTGATGGTTACACGGCCCTCAAAACGTATTTGTCCAAGCTAAATCCTTCTTGCGATGCGCTTTATCAGTATCCAAAGCGAAATTGGCAACCAAACGACCACGTTTGGTTTGAAAACCGGACTTGGTGTAAACAAGCTGGCAAACATGATGAAATGCATTGCGTATTTTGATTGATCGATTGCTTGATTTGACGATCTTAAGAGAATTTGCCGTGCGATCAAACGTATTAAATGCAATTTCTTACTTTAACTTCGTTATTATCTGCTGTTGTTATTTTATAAAAGCATTAGAAGATATTTTCCGTGTTTCTATTCTCTCTCGCTTTCAGCTCGTGATTCAAAACCTTTTCTCGTGTTCTCCCAACAATCCCGCGTGTTTCTAACAGAGAATGGAAACACGGAAAATATCTTCTAATGCTTAAACATAAAGCCGCAAATTCGCAAGTTCAGTACAAAATTTATTTCAAAGACAGGAGGTACATGGAGTATTCCGGATCATTTGTAACTTCTTTTTCAATGCTGAGAAAACATGGGAGCTGTAGCCCTTGTGCTGACTTGCTTGTGTATGTTTCAAGAAGGAGAAGACCTTTACACCTTAAAAGACAGACAATAACATCACATTAATAAATGAAGATAATAACAAGATTCGGTTGGACGGTAAGCTAGCTTACCTTTACTTTCTTAAATAATTGGGATACAGTCAATTCCGCCAGAGTTAAAACCATAGACATATATCGTGTTTGTAATTTCTTTGCAGGACATTCMACGTAAAGTTCCAAAACTTCTACAGAATGTTAATAACATTTTCGCCATCTATCTAAAGTTAGGAATTATACTAGTTCTTCCTGGGAATTTAAAAACCCTTTTATGCAAATGAATTTAATTCTTCCGAATTGACTATCATCTCGTAGTTCACTAGATCGAACTATCCACCGAACTATAGGGGTAATTTGAAAAAAGACCATAAAGAACAATTTTTCTCGACATTTTTTTAGACTATATTATTGCTCCATTCGATGCGACTATGGTAAAACATGAATATACCATAGTTCAGAAGCCAATCTGAATGCTGGATTTGTAATAGTCCATAGCTATACTAAAGATGGAATACTGATTTTGTTATCTTCAGAAACTAATACGTCCTTCCTCATAACAATATAACGTTTCTCTACCTTGAGTGATATGGTTCTTTGTACACATCCATTTGAAAATACTGGTTTTTCCACAAGAAACACCTTCTCTTCTTATACACAGATTGACGGGTATCATCTCTCTGAGCCAGCAACATCTTAAAAACAGAAAARCTCAATTAACAAATTTCAAATTTAAGGGGTAACACGTCAGCAAGTCATATGGCTGCGTTACCTATTTGGTTTTTTTTTAATTTTATAAAAAATATGCATGTCGTAAGTGCTAACATGCAAAATCAGAGTAAAATTTGATTGGAAATAGTTAATCGTAAAAGGAATATTACTTCATTTGCTTCTTTAGTTGTGAAATTATTCATACACTGATAATAACTTATTATTATCAATAAAATGTGAAAGCGAAGACTTTTACTGCATATTGCGCAAAACTTTCCCAAGATATCTTCCAGTTTGATCAGCCTCATTGTAAAGAAAACATTGATGACATCGCTTCCATAATTAGTGTTCAGGTACCGAGTTATCAGCCTAAGAAGGTCTAAGATAAGCTACAAACAACAAACAAAATTAACGGTTATTCGCTTTCAATCTTTCGATCTCTTTTACGCTGTGTTAGCCTCAAAACCATGAAATAAATTATATACACACTGAGATTTTCTCACATATTTTTCTATTTGAAAATCCGTTTCAAAATATCAACTAGCTGTGAAAAATAAACATTTATGTTTCATATTACTGGCTCACAGATTCATTAACTGAATTCTTATGTTTCTTGTTCATAGTTCGAGCAGTATAGAGGAAGTGCAGAACCAACATAGTGATGGTCCCCCTTTTTGAGACTAATAAACGTAGATGTAGATGTAGCTCAGAGTTTTCCACCTATTTTATCACCTACGGATGATAATTTCCTATATTTTTTTATCTTTATTTTGTCGAATCCCGTGTGATGGTTCAAACAAAGAAAAGAA